CCCTCCCCCACGAATTTAGTGCACTGGGCCTTTAGTGGTAAATAGTATGAATAAACATAATCTGAATAAATGACCAGTATTATTCAGTAGATGAAGGGGAATGTTCTGATCACAGTTATATTTTGTAATATCTATTAAATATCTGTGTCTTGGTGATATAAAGTTGAGCAGGAACAGGGGCTCTTGACCTCTTTGGGAGGTGCGCCAGTCACATTTCTGTTTGCCTTCGAATCTACTATTCCCACTTTTTCTGCGCTGGAAACCTGACCCCACACAGAATGCTTCCTAGGCTCCATGTCAGCTGGCTTCTGACTGGGTTCAATAAATGGAAAGCACTGGTACAACACTGAAGGGCTGTTGGAAGAAGCTACACTTTCTTCTCCCATTCCTTCTCTGCCTTGGCAGAATCTCCTCTTTGACTATCACTCCATCACCAGACAAGTTATACCTTCCATCTTCCACATAGCGAACCCAGCTTCTGGGCTGCCTAACCTTTCCTTGTCCTGACAATCTTAGTGGTTTTCAGGTGTTGCTACCCTCTGAGCTGGCTCACTTAACGCATTGTGGACCAGTAGTTTTATTGCTAGCTTTACCTAGTGGTCAGATGTTTCTATTGAATGAGTACAAAAAATGTTTTACATAAATGTTAAAGGCACGCTTTAAAATTAAATATCCATTGCATTTTGAAGTTATTTATTGCATGTTTTTAAAAACTACTATCTTTTTAAAGTATGATACCTTGTAAAACACTGTGTAATATGAAGCGAGAATTCTTGTGATCTGACCACAATATGTTAAGCTGCTCTTAGCTTTTCTACCACCCGTGTAACCAATTCCCTCATTAAATCCCCCCATCCTATCCTATACAATAAAGGCTGATATGCAAATCGACTGAACAGTAGAATGGCCTATCACCCTGAGGCATACTGACTATCAGGGTGCAGACCCTCAGCGCTGGTGGTTAGTGCGCTCCCACAGGGGGAGGCTGCTCAGCCAGAAGCCCTGCTCAAGAGTGGGACTAAGCTTCCGGACTGTGAGAGGGCACAGGCCGGGCACACACAATTTTGTGCACTGGGCCTCTATTGTCGAATACTCAGATTGGTTTCAATTTTCCTGAATGGACACTGACTCATAGAGAAAGGAACAAACCTATTTAGGAATCTAAAGAAAGTTCTGGCCCAGTGGTTGAGGTTTAACCTATGAACCGGAGGTCATGATTGAATTCCTGGTCAAGGGCACATGCCCAGGCTCCAGGTTCAATCCAGTAAGGAGTGTGCAGGAGACAGCAAATCGATGATTCTCTCCTCATTGATGTTTTTCTCTCTCTTTCTCCCTTCCTGTCTGAAATAAGTAAAAGTATACTTGTTTTTTAAAAAGGAAGTTTTGGACACTTCACCCATAAAACACACTACCTGCACATAAACCAATACAGATAATTTGTGGGATCCCAGAACTTTTTAAGCTTGCCCATTAATCTCAGATTAAAAGTACTGAATCTGACATAAAGGTAACTTTCTAGGGGAAAAAAAAAAAAAAAGCCTAGAAGGTACCCTGGCTTGTTTGGCTCAGTGGTAGACTGAAGGGTCCCAGGTTCAATTCTAGTCAAGGACACATACCTGGGTTGCAGGCTCGACCCCTGGTCTGGTCAATGCATGTGGGAGGCAACCAACTGATGTGTCTCTCTCACATCAATGTTTTTCTCTCAGCTTCTTCCTCTCCCTTCCACTTTCTCTGAGAATCAATGGAGGAATATACTAGGGATGAGGATTAACAGCCACAGCAACAAATTCTAGAGGGGGATAATTGTAATAGTAATAGAACAACGTGAATGTAAATAAAGCCACAGAACTGTACACTTAAAAATCACTAAAATGGTTAAATTTTGCATGTTTTCTAAGGAAAAAAAAGGGAAAGCAAATATACAGCTACCATAAAACATGTAAGGGTGTACTAACGTAAGTAATGTATAATGCTGTGGAAACATTTAAGTACTAACTATACCGCTGGATGAGGTTTCAGAGATTGCGTTTGACCAGAACAATGAGTGTAAATACTTAGGAAGACAGGGAGAATAGAATAAATGCTGCAGGCAGAGGAAACAGAACGCATAGGAAAAAGCGGAGTAACAGCAAATAGTCTGGTATCCCTGAAGCACAGGTCAGATGTTGAGAAGTTGAGATGAAGCAGAATGAGTTCCACAGAGCACTTTGTATGACATGCTGATAAAAACAAACTGGTGATTCCAGAGGCAATAAACAACATTTTGATGCATTTGGCTTGTGCAATAATTAAAGAATTTCCAGCAAGGCAACAGCTGGGAGTAACTGATTAGCAAGAGCTGTTTAAATGTAGTGGGGTACAAAAGTCACTGCTGTATGTATAAAATGAAAGTTAGCCCTAGCAGGTTTAGCTCAGTGGATAGTGTTGGCTCGTAGACTAAAGGTTCCCAGGTATGATTCTGGTCAAGGGCACATGACAGTAGGAGGTGTGCAAGAGGCAGCTGATCAATGAGTATTTCTCATCATTGATGCTTCTCTCTCTCTCCCTTCTTCTCTGAAATCAACAAAAATATATTTTTAAAAAAAAGAAAAAACAAAGTAGGTGAGCAAGTAGAGTAACTAAATATAACTTATTGTTCTTTGAATAAATTTGACTTGTGAAAGGATGAAGGAGCATTAGATAGAATGTGAGGGGGGTGCAGCGAAGTATTTAGAGTGTGTGTGTGTATGCGTAAGGGTAAAAATCCTAATTATATGAACTCTAAGGGGGAGAACTCCCTTCTCTCTATTCTTAGCATTTGGCAGTGTCAAAACATAGCAGACACCCGAAGATTTGCTGAAAGAACAATATAAAGGAAAAAGTCCAACATCAAGAGAGGGGCTGAAGATGGGGAGGGAGTACTGACAAGAGAAGAATCATGAGTGAATAACAAACCTCTTAATATTTTAAGTCACTAAGTTTGTAATTGTAGGTCTTTACATGCTGATATGAGCTTCAAGATACACGAAAAAAGCAAAAGCAGTTAATGCAGGAAGATTTGTTACATATTCTTTTGCACAACTTGAAAGTTTTGGTTAAGTGCACAGTTGTTTCAACTTTAATAGGAGGTATAGTGTGAATGCGTTAGGCAGATTTTGTTTTGTAACAGGAAAGATGAATAGCAAGACTGTCTGAGAAGCAATGACAAAAATCCAAAAAAGAGTAATGGGAGGCATATTGCTAGGATAAGTAGCAATCAGAATGGAATGTGAATGACAAAGAACTAGTTTAGGATAAGAAACAATGCCGACTGACTGAGTCCATTTGAAAAAAGTAGGAAGTCAAGCAGATCAGCTGGTTTGTGAAGAAGAGACTCACAAGATGGTGTGAATTATTCCAGTTAGAAAATCAAATTGCTTTTGTAAAACCAGTGGTTCTTAACTGAGTGATTTTTGCCCTTCAGGGAACGTACTGTCAATATCTGGAGACACTTTTTGTTGTCACAACTGGAACAGAGGGTGAGTGGAGTCCTACAGGCATCTACAGGATAGAGGCCTTGGATGCTGAACATCCCAGATAATTTAGTCAATTATCTGGCACAAAATGTCAACAAAGCCAGGTCAAGAAATCCACTTGAAGGCTGTGGTTACTGGATTATCAAACTGCCCAAACTCAAAAATTCTTAAGTAAACACTGCATGGAGGGGGAAAAAAAATAAAGTATGTCAATATGATCATAAACACTGTGAAAGTCTACTTTGGACTGGATTATTAATACATGCAAGTCTAATACCACAAGATACAGATGTGGGTTAACTATGGATACTCAGTTCTGGTTAAGTAGGCAAAAGATTGGCCAAACATTTAACAAAATATCAGTTTAAACTTAAGTCACGAATTTAATTTATTAAAAAAAATGGATGATGGAACCACTTTGTAGTATTTCCTGCAAAATGCGTCTATCAAAAGTCCATGCATTTCTCTGCACACAGGTGGGTATTTTAAGAAGAAACAAGACAAACGGGCTTCCCTAATAAAACGACTGCAGACACTATGCGAAGGTCCATCACAGATGTTTACCATTTACTTTCAGGGGTGTCGAACCCGATGCCTGTAAAATCCCTGGCTGGTGTTTTGAGTTTCATGCGGTCCCCTCTGGTCCCCAGCAGTCCAATCCTCTTTGGTCTTTCGGGGTGCAAACCACAACAAAACCTTGTTTCCCACACAGAGCACCTCGACCACGGGCCCAAGGAACCAAAGCCTCCGCAAATGGAGGAAACACGAACCAAGACTTAGAACAAGTCACCTCAAAGTCACTCCCTCGTGTGAAGTTTCTTGCCAGTTCCGTCCCCCCTGCTCCCGACACCCCCCCCTCAAAAAAAAAAGGAAAAAAAGGAATTGCTCCTGTTTTAAAATATGCAACTGGCATTTCAAACCTCTAGACGGGGAGACCCACTGTGGCGGGTGGAGAGAGCTCACACCATTCGGCCCCAACGCGTCGTTATTCTAAAAGCGAGTTACGACGAGGAGGGCGTCGGGAGGAAGGTCTTTCCATCAGGCTGGGGGGCTGAGGAAGTCCTTATTATTATTATTATTATTATTATTATTATTTTTTTTTTTCCTATTTGGGTCCCAGCCCTGACCGGGGAAAGCGCACCCAAAACACGCAGCCTCCCGTCAAGTCGACGACTCGCCCGCGGGGTCCCGGGGCGGCGCGCAGGCCCGCCCAGCCCTGGCCCCGGGCGGCCTCAGGTGTTCCGCCCGCGCGCCCTCCCCTCCGCGCCCCTCGCCCCGCGGCCCCCCGAGGAGAGGCGCCTCCACACACAAAAGAAGCGAAAACGACCGAGCCTCCGGCAGAAGAGGAGTCGCCGTGGCCGCCGCCGCGGGGCTGAAGGAGTCGGCGGGGAGGCGAAACCCCAAAGTTTCCCCACCCGGGGAAAAGCCTTTGGCCCCGAAGGTCTCCCCGTCCGGCGGAGCTGGTCCCATATCCCCTCCCTCGCTCCCCTCGGCGGCCCAGCTTACCCAATACCAGCCGGGCCACGTCCGAAGGCAACAACATACTCGATGCCGCGGAAGGGACCGCAAGAGGACACAAGGCTCGGGGAGAAGCCAGCCCAGCGACGGCCGCAGCGCCGCATCTCCCGGTTCCAGTGGCGGCGGCACGGAACCCGCGGCCACTGGTCCCGCCCCTTTCGACCCCCGCCAGCCAATCGCGTTCGCGGGAGAAAGAAAGGCGCCGAAAGGAAGCCCGCCTCCGTGCTCCTGGAAAGTGTCGTCACTTCCGCCCTCTTCTCTGGAGGATGTGGGGGGTGGAAGGGGGCGGCGAGGAGGCGTGGTGCAGGTCCCGGAGCCCCGGCCCCCCGGGCGAGCCCCAGGGGCCAGGGCGCACGCCATTGGCGGGCACGGCGCAGGCGCCTCCGCGGACTTGCCCATGTTTATTTGGGGGGAGAAGGGGGAGGACCCAGGCCTGGCCGCGGAGGGAGAGATGCTGACGCGCATGGGCAGACGGGCCCCGGCGCCGGACATCCTCACTTCCTGGCAGGACGAGGGGCTGCGCTGTCAAGCCGAGTTTGAACCGGAAGCGGGAATGGTGCGTGGAGAGCGGTCTGCAGCCTCTGCGGCCGCGGGCTGGGGCGCCTGAAGCGGCGATCTGGGCTGTAGCCATCGTGCCCTCCGGAGATTGCCCTTTGGCTGTCGGAGTCCGGCGGGAGGGACGCGAGAGCCGTGCAGTCGGGGAATTGAGGCTCCCGAGCCTCCTGTCCTGGGCCCCCTTGGACGCGCCATCTCGCGTCCTCCGGACGGCGCCCCTCTCTGCTCCTCTTTCCTGGGCTCTCCGAGCCCCCAGCTGATTTAGCCACTCACCTTCCTCTACATGCCCCGGGGACCCCGGTTTAATTAGATGGCTAATCAACTTTCTCCCCCTCTCGTCATTAGTTGCAATCAGCGAGCATCTGTTGAAGGGTGAACCGCAGTCGCCTGGGCTCCGCAATCACCCTGCCGGAGGCCACCCTTTGGGACCCTGTCCCCTGTGGGACCACGCGTCCCTGTCTTACTCGGGACCATCCTTTCCTGGGGTGAGCATTCAAGAGCATTCGCTGCCGTTTGGATCTGGTACAGATTAAGGGAAAAGATTTATACAATTCAGGATGGAGATTTGGCAAAAGAGTACGGTGGTAGTAGAGGGGTGAATGAGGTTCTCTGGAAACAGCCCCGGACATAATCAGTTCAGTTTGTGCGGAGATCTCCCAGTGATGAATTGCTCTGGAGGGTGGTAGGAGCCTTCTCTGCACAGAAGGCAAAATGTGGGTAAAAGGCACAAAGTGGAGACGGTGCCTGAAGCTCAAAAGTGGGGTGTGGTATTAAATGGGATAAAGGCGGGCATTTCAACACATCGAAGTCATAGGAATGGATGAGATCACACTGGGTTAAAATAAAAATGAGAAGTCGGGAAATAAGGATGTTCTTTCGGGTGTGGTTGGAAGAAGAACCATCAAAATGGACTTATGAAATAGAAAGGATAATTGCTAACGGTAATTTATTGAGTATTTACTGTGTTCCTCCCACGGTTGAACTGGTACACGAATCCTTGCAGTACCTCTTTGAAGTAGGTTCTAGTATGCATTGTTTTTTCATTTTATCATTGAGAAAAGTGAGGTGAAGAGAGAGTAGCTAACTTTTCCAAGGTTCTACTGCTTATAAATAGTAGCACCAGTACAGTCTGAGTACAAAGCCCACACTCTTGCCACTTGAAAAGATTGGCATCCCTTGCCGGAACCGGTTTGGCTCAGTGGATAGAGCATCGGCCTGCGGACTGAAAGGTCCCGGGTTCAATTCCAGTCAAGGGCATGTACCTTGGTTGCAGGCACATCCCCAGTAGGGGGTGTGCAGGAGACAGCCGATTGATGTTTCTCTCTCATCGATGTTTTTACCTCTCTATCCCTCTCTCTTCTTCTCTGTAAAAAATCAATAAAATATATTTTTAAAAAAAAAGAAAGAAAGAAAAGAATGGCATCCCAAGGGCTGGATCATATTCAAGAGATGGGATTTGTCATCGTTGTCAAATCCTGCAGAGATCAGCATTGGGTTTGCCAATACAGAGGTTGTTACTTAGGAAATAGAGATCATTTAGTGGCATGCTGGGAATGGAACCTAGGTTGTTCTGAATTAATGACTTGGTTGAATTCAGCTTTAACTGATGACACTCTTATTGTAGCTGCTTGCTCTGGTTCTTTTGGTTGCTTTTTCCATCTTAGGACCTTAAAATCTCTGTCCTCCAGCTCTTTCTGTGATTAGCACAAGTTCATTCAGATCTTGGCTTTATTGTAACATCCTCTGAGACATGTTCCCTAACCGTTTATAGAAAACTAGAGGCGAGTGCACAGATTCATGCGCCGGTGGGGTCCCTCTTCCTGGCCTGTGGGGTCCTTCTGCCGGGCCTGTGGGGAAGGAGTCCCGGATTGCAAGAGGGTGCAAGCCTGGTGGAGGGACCCCACCAGTGCATGAATTCGTGCACTGGGCCTCTAGCATACATAAAAGGTCTTTTAGGCATTTAATCTCTTCCCGCCCTTCCCCTCCCCTTCCCTCTGAGATTCATCAGTCTGTTCCATGTTTCCATGCCTATGGTTGCCACTCCTGCATTGAGCATCTACCCTCTGGTGGTCTGTGAGTCTCATAGCTACCAGTTGGATGGTCGAACAGTCAGCTGGTCACTTAGGTTTTAATATCCTATATAATATGCAAATTGACCCTCAGGCCCTCATACAAGATGGACATCCCCCATATGGTCAAAGATGGCCACCACAAGATGGCCTTCAGGGGAGTGTAGTTGTGGGTGATCAGGTCAGCAGGAGAGGGCAGTTTGGGGCGACCAGAACTGCAGGGGAGGGCAGTTAGGGGTGACTGGGCTGGCAGGGTAGGGCAGTTGGGGGCAACCAGGCCTGCAGGGAATGGCATTTAGGAGTGACCAGGTCGGCAGGGAAAGGTAGTTGGGGGCGACCAGGCCTGCAGGGGAGGGCAATTGGGAGGACCATGCCTGCAGGGGAGGGCATTTAGGGGTGGACCTGGGCCTGCCGGGGAAGGCAGTTGTGGGGGGGAGGGCACCAAGCCTGCAGGGAGGGAAGTTGGGGGCGACCAGGCCTGTAGGGTTGGGCAGTTAAGGGTGACCAGGTCAACAGGGGAGGGCAGTTGGGGGCAATTGGGCTGGTAAGGGAGCAATTAGGCATTGATAAGACTGACAGAGGAGTGGTTAGGGGGTGATCAGGCTGGCAGGCAGGTGAGTAGTTGGGAGCAAGCAGTTCTGAATTGTGAGAGGGATGTCCAATTGCCCATTTAAGCCCAATCCCTGTGGGACAGGGCAGTTGGACATCCCTTGTGGGGTCCCAGATTGGAGAGGGTGCAGGCTGGGCTGAGGGACACCCCACCCACCCACCCGTGCACGAATTTCATGCACCAAGCCTCTAGTATATAGATAATCCTCTATTATTGTGTGTTTCCTTTGAGTCATATTACAGTTTGGAATTATGCATCGATTTATTTTGTACTTGTTTATTGTCACTCTCTCCCACTACCGTGTTTCCCCGAAAATAAGACATCCTTCGAAAATAAGACCTAGCGCATGGAAAGATAAGACATCCCCTGAAAATAAGACGTAGCACAACTTTGGGAGAAAAAATTAATATAAGACACTGTCTTATTTTCGGGGAAATAGGGTAGTTGTGACTCAACGAGGGTAGGATTTGTGTCTTATTTGGTTCATTATAAATCTAGATTCTCCTAATATAGCACCTTGGACACAGCAGTTGCCTAATAAATATAGTTTCATGCATCATTGAGTAACATTTCCTGTTTATATAGATAATACTGAACTGTTTCATTTCTTAAAAGTTATCAATCTTTGAGAAAATGAAGAAGAGAAAAAACAAGTTCAGAAAAGCCACAGTTTACAAAAGAAGTTTAGAGTTACCTCTTCCCGGATGTGTCACATGTTTAGTAAACACATTTCCCCCCCATTATAAATAACATCTTTAGTATATTTAGGAATAAAGGTGTCTACTTTTATGGTTCTTTGAATATTGCTAAAGTGTTTTATTTTTCTTACTGGTTAATCAAGAGCACTTTAAGATTGAGCAAGAAGGAGTAAGAGTCCTAGATACAACCATAGGGGATGGAGAAACAAAAACAGCCCTGTTCTGAACAAGACTTTAGTCAAATGAAAATTACTATAAGTCAGTAACATCCTGCAACCCCCAGCAGAGTAAAGGGGGTTGTAAATGGTGTTGAAAGGGTCAGAACAACCAATGAATACTAATGGAGAAGGAAATTAGAGCTACCTGCCAGTGAACGAGGAAGTCTTATTAGGCAGTTTGCCTTCACTGCAAGTGTTTGAAGAAAGGACAATAACATGGTCGGAGGAATTTCTTCCTTTGAAGGAAGATGGGACATGATCACTCATTTCCTCCAACTTTTAAGATTCTGTGAAATTAAACACGGGCCGATAAACATACCTGATCCTGGAAGATCGAGTAGAACATAGGTGGATGTATAGGAAAAGGATTTTCCCCATCTTTCCTCTTGCGATATATATGTAAGTGTAGGTATCATAGACATAATGGGCATGTTTTTATTTGTTTATTAACAGTGTGTAACAGAAATGAGCCTTTTTAATAAAAAGACTCAAATACTGAAATGTTTTTCTTCCAAGATACTTTGGAAGGTTACCAAAGGAAAGTTTGATTACCAAAGGAGGAGGGCTACTGCAGTGGTATTACGGCATAGTAAAATATAGTTAACCTTTGACATTGGCAAAGGATATCATTATGGCTTATAATTTCCATCATTTCCTTTTAAAACAAGAATACCATTTTTTTCCTGTTTTTATGTAGTATTAAATGAGAATCAAAAAGCCAGTTAGGATGGGAACGCTATGCAGGGCTTCCTAGCTCTCATGACCTTCTGTGTATCAATCCCAAAGCATAAGCAATTTAAGTTTTTGGCTCGGCTATATGAGGTCATTACACATAGAAAGGGTGCTTTTAAATAGATGGTCAATATTAAATCCTT